CACCCTGTCGCTCGCTCCGTTAGTCGCCCCAAAAGGCGTTATACTGGTTTTAAAATGTCCGTGCTTGGTTCTCAGCCGACATATCCTGACCACCAAAAGCGTATCTTACAAGCGATGATGCAGGGAAAACTACTTAACAAGAAGCGACAATGACGTGACCAGTGGCGTAGCCAGAAATCAGCGAAAGGGGGGGCCATGGTGCTCGAGGGGGCGACTTTTTCCCTTGAGAGGGGCGCCATAGTGAGCTAGTGACAGGGGGTCAGTCTAAAATGTAACGTCATATATTCATGCATGATTTACTAGGTGTTACTACGGAACCGGCACGAGTATCAGAACGGTTTCGCTGATTTTTCATAAAATCCAATTAATGCAATTTGCCGCTCAGTGTTTTTTTATCAAAAGCGATAAAAAATCTTTATGCATATTTAGCACGATATAGGAAACGAGCTCAGGCTACGGACATGTTATTCTCAAAATACACACCCATTCGAATTCGAAACGGTAAAATATGCGTTGATCGATTGGCACAATCTTTATTCTTTGCAAAAAAAAGCATACAGGTTCACTCACTGAACCAAAGTGACCTGTGGACTGCAGCCTCTGGTCGACCGGGGTGGCCGTGCTTAGAATCTCAGACACTCATGACTGCATGAGTGCCAGATGGGTGAGGCGTGAGACTGTCCCATATAGTGGCACGAAGGTTAAGAATGTCTTGGGCCGGCGTAGTATAGAAGACGACTTTTGATGATGTGAGTGTGCATGGTCGACTTTGAATAAGTGCCATAGAAATCTGCTGATCTCACCGAACATTCGCCTTGCGTAATCCCCAGACCAAATATCTTCATTGAGGGCCAGGTCAATTTTGCGACCTCTCTATAAGTACCTATAAGTTACCGATTACCTATAAGTTAACCCGCGCCGTGCTGGTGGCCTGTGCTTTCCGTGTCGTGCTTGGGGGAGGGGTGTTTTCACGTCCCCCCTCTAACTCGGCTCCTGGGCCACGTAGCGACACGCGGTAAGGGGAAATCGAAAGAGCGTCAAAAATAATGACGGAAAGACTTCGTTTCAATTTTTAGGTCAGGTCAAAGGTCAGGTCACCAGAGGTCATCAAAGGTAAAATTTAGTCCATTTCAACAATTTTGGAAACTGCCAACGGCTAACTCGGGAACCAATAGAGCTACAGCGCCGCGGAAAAGCGCATTCGATAGCCCTTTTACAGGCTTTTCTGAATATTGCTCTCGGATTTGATCTCAGGTCAATGGTTTAGCCTCCAGAGGGCAAAAATTCCAAAAATAACAGTTTTTATGAAAGCGTTTTTCTGCAATAACATTTGGTTCAAGACAGTGACGATATTTATTTTGCCTGCCTCGTGTTCCTCTCGTCGAGACGCGTCGAATGAACTATACGTTGACCTTGAAAGGTTATTTTAAAAATTTGACCGCAGGTCAAGGTCATGACCTGACCGGAAAGGGTCATTCTGCAGATCAGTCGATCCGTATCGTCGAGCTGACTACATCTGACGTGTTTTCACCGCTCTAGCACGTCTCTATCAAAAGTTGAAGCCAAAAAACCGTTCATGGGGATAAAATAGGTGACCGTTTATGACCTGAGATGACCTCAAGGGCACATAAAAGGACACATGTGCATTTTTACGATAGAGTGCGCTATGTTTACCTATGAACCGATGTTCAAGGGGGTTTTAAACGACATTCGTCCAAAAGAGGCGCATTTCACTTTTCTCCCACTGACTTGAGGTCCCAAAATTGACCTGACCTTAGGTCACAGAAATAAAAAGTCCGAGATGAACATTTTATGCATATTGTTAGTCTTATCAATCTCTAAAAGTTTCAAAAGTGATCGTTCAGTCGGTGTAGCTATAGCGGGTCTTTTAACTTTTTTTTAGGTAAGGTCACTTGACGTGCCCTAGTGACCTGACCTTGAACGACCCTCATCTGAAATTTAACAAGCTGTGTAGAAAAGATGTATAAACAGGTGTACCAAAGACAGCGCAGGCGCTGCGCGAAGCCGTTTTTGAGATGTTCGCGAGAAAAAAACCTAAGGGGGGCGTACCCCCCTCCCTCCAGCACGGCGCGGATTAATGGGAGACAATTGAAATGCTCTTCTTCTGAACGAAAACAACCTCAACCATCGGGATGCAGGTAAATATGACACATTTAATCGGTAAATGTCACTCGTGATGTGACCACTTTTATGTTACTGAGGTCATCTCAGGTCATGAAAGGTCTCCAGTAGATTTTGGACAATAACTTTTGATAGAGATATGGTAGAGCAATGAAACACCCTATATAATTATTTTCCTTCTCGAAAATATGGATCGACTAATATGCAATATGACCTTTACCGGTTAGGTTATGACCTTTACCTTGGGTCAAATTCTCAAATGCCCTTTTAATGTCAAATTCTAGCTCATTTGACTCGTCTGTCTCGAAAAATGGAACACGATGCTGGTTGAACTAATCTCATGCAGGTCTGAGCCAAAAGGTATTACAGATAAACGTCCTCCGCGAAAACGTATATTTTGAGGCTAAAACGTTTACCTTAGGTCAAATCTGAGATAATTAATAAGAGAGAGCATAAAAAAGAGCTATCGAATATGCGCTTTGCTGCGGCGCTGTAGTTCAATCTCTTTTTGAATCCTGACTTATGCGCCGCTTTGTCGAAAAAATGTCAACATCGGCGAAATTTGATTTTCGGTTGTCGCTGGTGACCTTCGACCAGTTCGACCTAACCTTAAAATGTTCTAAGTAGTTTTGTAATAGTTTTTGACGCTCTTTCGAACGCCGCCTATTGCGTGTCTCGACGTGGCCCACAAGCTGAGTTAGAAGTGGGTGTTCAAACACCCCCAGCAGGTTCAATAAAAAAACGCTTACGCTGGGGGCGGCAGCCTACTGCTAGGCGCTGTCGGCATCGCAATAATGGGCGGCACAGCGCTGAGGGGCGCCACTTGCATTGAGGGGTGGCATTGTACGGTGAAGGGGCAGCGTCGCGTTGAGGGGCGGTATCGCAACGAGGGTGGCACTTACAAGGCTGCCTAATAAGGAACGCTTGGCACATCCAAGCCCAGCTCGGCGCCGCCTAGCTGCTGCATCTTGAAAAGGGCCCTTGGTGTCGATGAGAAAGCCCCATTGTCAAAAAATTGCCTAGCGTCAGTGGTTTCGGGGGGGGGGCGACCGAAGTATCCAATTCAGTTTCGCGTCAGTGACTACTGGAGGGCGTCAACGAACTCAGATAGGGCGAATGTGATCTTCAGAAGGGCACCGGGTGCTCTAGAGGGGTGCAATGCTTGGATGGGGTCACTGCTGCCTTCAGTAGGGCGTCGGACGCTCTGGAGGGGCGCCATTGATCTCGGATGGTCCGACTGGGATTTTCAGAGGAGCATCAGTGGTTTCAGAGGGGCGCCATTGATCAAGGATGGGCCGACTGAAGCCCCGGTTCAGGTGGGCGCCAGTGGCTCTTGAGGGGCGCCAGCGACCTCGGATTGATGGGGCGACTGTGATCTTTAGAACGGTGTTGAGGGGCGCCATTGGGCATGGATGGGGCCACTGTTGCCTTCAGCAGGGCGCCGCAGGGAGGCTCTGGAGGGGCTTGAGCTTGGGTGGGCCGACTGTAGTCTCCAGGGGCGTTGTCTCGGATGGGGCGAATGTGATTTTCAGAGGGGTGCCGGGTAGTCTAGAAGGGCGCCATTGGTTTCAGAGGGCTGCCATCGATCTTAAGATGGGGCAGCTGTAACCTTCGTTTAGATGGGCGTGATCTTCAGAAGCGCGCCGGACGTTCTGGAGGGGCGTCATTGGGCTTGAATGGGGCGACTTTAGTCTCAAGCGGGACGACTTCAGTCTCAAGGGGTGGGGCGCTAGTGGCTCTTGAGGGCGCTATTGATCTCGGATAGGGCGACTGTGATCTTGAGAAGAATGCGGGTGCTTTAGAGGGGCGCCAGTGGTTTCAGGGATCGATCTTGGATGGGTCGATTGGGGCAGCTGTGAACTTCAGAGGGGCGCCGGGTGCTCTAGAGGGGCGCCATCAAGCTTTAATGGGGCGACTGTTCCGTTTAGGTGGGTGCCAGCGACTCTTCAGGGGCGCCATCGACCCTGGGGGTTCGGAATATTCTGGTTTCCGGAGGGGCGCCCTTCAACATTTGGGGGCTCAGGTCGTATTTGGGGGTGCCCTGGAGATTATTTAGGTGTCCAGGCACCCCCAAAGAGATATTGAGTTCGATCCCTGCCTGCACATCACTTTTTAATTCATGTTCTCTCTGTAAAACGGCATCAGCCTAGTCGGCGCTAATTGGGGCGCCATTTGGGCGGCTGGGCGGAAAGGGGGGGCCATGGCCCCCATGGCCCCCCCCTGTCTACGCCACTGGACGTGACAAAATAGGCGGGAGGGAAACGGGAACGCAGAAACCGATAAACGTGACCAATATCTTATTATTATTGTTATAATATATCCAGGAAGAGCGAATACCTGAATTTGGGGAGATAATTTCTTGTAAGAGAGATAATCCTAATTTCTTGTTAGGCCAAAAGTTCATAATTTACACCACATAGGTCATAAAAGACTAGGCAGGTTTATAATAGAAAGTGTTCGCTGATGTTTGACTTGGTGAGGTAGGAAGCGTTATTTTCATACCCTGGAGACAAGACCGCGTTGTGAGCGTAAGGACAATGTTGAGGTTGTGCCGTTGTGCCTATCATCCAGCAGTGCTTTCCCTCCCAGTTTTCTGGGAGGGGAGGGGTGCCCAGCCCACCACCCAGTGCAGTGGTACGGGGTTGCTAACCGCCCAGCGGTGCGTTGTGCCACGTGACGGACACCCGGCAGTGTGGGGCACGTGGTCAGCGTGCGTAAACACTCCACAGCCAAACTAGCCACAGCAACCTAGCGTAAGCAAAGCGCACACTGGCGTACATAGCGGCGCGGCGCCGGGCGCGTACTGCTGCACTCTGGCCCCGGGGCTGGCGGACATGCTGGCAGCGACGTGGGTTTACCTCTCCGTACGTCTCGGAGCCGTCCCTGGACATCTTCTGTCCCCCCGAGCAGGCACCGCCCATCTACAGCAGTGACACGGCGTCAGGATCGGTCAGGTCAGGAACGGGGAGGTCGGGGCGGCAGGGTCGCGGACTGGCGGCCTACCTCACAATCACACTCACAGGCAGAGCTATTGATATTCTTCACATTGCATAATGTTGAGAATAAACATGAGCATCTGACTAATATAAAAAATAAATACAACGTTATTACTGAAAATAGGGGACTGAAAGCGAAAAAAACAAGAGAGAGACACTGTGAATTGACTTATTGCCAGCACCGGGATCGGGCCAGCCTAGGCCCTGGCGCTGGTAATGTAAACTCAAAGATAATGACTTTATTACCATCCGATCGATTGACAGGTATTCACTGGCAAGTAACCTCATCCAATGTACCACCTATGCAATTAAAGTCAGTCCTAATGGCGGGTGTATGGTGCACGTGGCGCGTGGCGTGAGAGACGTTCGAAGGTTGTGTTGCAATAGCGCCCGTACGCTGCCGTGCTGTGAGTCTACAGCGCGGCAACGCCCGGTGAAAGCACACGGCCGATGCGGGAACGTGTTCGATCGAGCCACCAAGACCGCATTGTCCGTGAGGACACTGAGCGCGGAACGATTGTTACCATGAGAACCGCCCAGCAATAATGTGGGCCATCACTACCACCTGAGCTCGACTCGGCCAGTCCGCGCGGGCTCCAACGGAGCAACACGGTGGTACAACAACAGTTTCGTAGCACTTCAGAGTCGAAAAACACATTGAAAAGATTTTAATGAGAAACGGGTAACAATTTGATCGTTCCATGACCTTTTCAGATAAAACTGCAGGCCTCCTGTCAAGTCTATTGACAGTCACAAAAGATTTATAAGACAGCCATATTTGGGGGTCGATCTATCTATTTGAGTTCCCGAGCTATATAATCCTTAGAAACATTCCTAATTTTTTCTTTTAATAATTGTGGCATCTAACTTCACCTCAGGAGAATCTCGCTGCGTAACCTTAGGGCGAAGATTGGAAGTGTTTTAAAAATATCTACCCTGTATCAGAATAACGTGCAAACCGATTTATCGAGCACACCTTGTCTCGATTTAGGTCAACTTGTCTCCGTCGCGACATCCACAACGTCAGAGCGTCGAAAGGGCCCCAGTCTTTCCCCGCGCGGTTCGAGCTATTCTAGCACACAAGCAATGACGTCAATTGACAATGACGTCATTCGTCAGTGACGTCTCTAAAGCCAATCATTGGCTTTTGGCCTCATTAGTGGCATTGAATTATTTCCGTAGCATTTGCTTAGGAGCTTCGGAAGCCGCATCGGCACGCCACAATTCCCGCCATGAGATCAAGAAAGTTGGAGTTGACTTATACCTAAGGGGGAGGGGTGCCATCCTCTCCGCTTTATAAACAAAGCGTGGAAAACCAGAAACCCAGCAAGGCGCGCACTAATATGAGTGATTGTTTCTTGGAAGCAAGTAGGTACCTAGGCACTGTTTTGGTCAATTTTTTATTTTAACTGACCTTTTTGACAATTCACTAGGCTGACGTCACAAGGTGATTAATCGAGGGTCAGTAAAAGACCGGTCACATTGCACACCTTATAATGACCGATGGATTGACAACGCGTTCGTTGCTGAGTTTTCTTTGCGAACTTTTCGGGGAAACCCACCTAGTCAAGAGGGTGGCGGCGGAAACCAACGATGCGGGCTGCGGCGGCCCCAACAAGGAGCGACTGTAAACCACCAGAGCGGGTCGCACCACTGTATAGTCTGTCTGCACTGTCTCCCCAGCACCGAGCGGCGGCAGCAGTGGATGCGCGCACTAATCACGGACGGCAGCCGGTCGTCACGTTACGTCATGCACCAGCGCGGCAGGCAGCGGCACCATGTCCCTGGGCGGCGGCGCGGCGCGGCGCCGGCAGCTCCTCACTCGGCTCGGCCACAACCATCGATCGACTGGCCGAGGCGCCCGCTCGGCCCACGGCCAGATCTGGCATCGCGCTGCCAGACACGGCCGCCGGTTCCGGCCGCGCTGACGTGGCAGCCTATGATACGTCGAGCGCCCAGGAGCGGATCGAGGCTAGCCGAGACGGTGGGCTTCTCAAGCGTCGCCCATCAGCTGCTGCTCGTGTATCTTGTAACTGTTGACTAATACGGACGTTTCGCAATCGGGGACCCGTATAACCCAGGAAATGTGTAAGCAGCGCGGGAGCTGCGGGGACGGGGCCGGCGAGGCTGGGTACGCTGGGGAGACGGGCCGCCGGCCGGCCGGGGCTGTAAATAGGTGCAGCTGGCGCGGCGCGCCGGCCGCCGTGGTCCCCGCGCACCCCGGTCACGGGGTGCAGTGGACGACCCCGACCGTCCCGACACCAGCGACTGAGCTCAGTGTGTGTCCCCCTCCCCTCCCCCACCCGCAGCCTCCCGCCCACGACCGGCCAACCGGCGCCACTACAGCCTCGTACACAAAGAAGTTCAACAGACGCCGGATGAGTCACGGTGATGGTTCAGCAGAACCATACCGCGAAGGTGACCCAGAATCGCATTTGTTTTTCTCTTGACAAATCAGTGGCCTGAGAGGCTCTGGCTGCGCGTAGGCCAGATGCGCCGGCCGCCCGGGGCGCCCTACATCGGCTCACTGTGTGTGACGAGCGCCGGGTGGCTGGTCGGACAGGAACTCCGTTCGGCCGAGTGTGACAATCCCATGGAGCGAGTGGCCGTCCGGCGGACTGCCGTCAGGTGGCCGACCGCTGACGACAGCTGCGCTCACCCGGCCCTGCCGCCTGGCGGAGCTCCGCGCACGTCAACTACTCGGCGCCGACTGGCCCCCGGGGGACGCGGTTCACCGGGCAGCCACCAATGGAACGGTGGGTCAGCTGATTGTGATCGGTCCCGCGGCCCGCTCGTGTGTTCTACATACTTAGCAGTCACATACAAATATTGGAATGCTTAGAATGCAATGTTTGGTGTTAAAAGGCAAAGTTGTTATTTTTGGGTTATCTCATACCTGGACCACTCTAGTCAACGCATACATATCAACTAAGTAGCATTCACCCTGCTAGGGAAGAGTTATTGCTATTCTCCCCATTGCGTGAAGAGAAAACGGCGGCGCGTAGTGCCGCGAAATTTATAAAAGCTTATATTGCCACAATTCTTCATCCCATTTTAAAATTCTGACCCCAAGTCCCCGAAGATCAGATCATCTGAGGTCGGGTCACCAGATCAAGTTGAGCAAGGTCGCCTCAAATTGTTGACATTGTGTTTATCACGCAAATCATTTACTAGCAAAAGAACCAGTGACACTAATCAAATAAGTCGATTTTTATATGTGACCTGACATTAGGTCAGATTCATGATCTCACAATCACCAAGCAACGGAAGAAAAAGCAAATGCGTCCTGCTGTAAACAAACGTTAAAACCGAGGTAATTTTAGGATCACGGTATCTACTAAATCAACAATGCGCAGAATGCGGCTGCCAGCTAACGGTCATCTGGAAGGTCATCAGATGTCACCAGCAATATTTCGACAATACTTTTGATAAAGACATACTGAAGCAAGAAAACGGCATGAACGTTTTCAGTTGAACGATACAGATGCCCTGTTGGGCAAATGACCTTTTCCGGTCATGTGATAACATCAGCTACCATACGTCGCATTATCAAGGTCAAACGTCCAAGGAATCTCAAGGACCGCCAGACAGTCGCAGTCCGGAGGACGCCGACTCCTCCTCTATAAAGACGTGGCAAATTAGGAATGACTTGAAAAGGCGTTGCTTTTATCATCGTTTAGTAGTATCCTCCATTTTGATGAGGATCTAGGCCAGGGGTCGGCTACCTTTTTGGGGGTGCGGGCCGCATATGAGATTTGGAAGCAGCCGGCGGGCCGGAGCATAGTGTGGTTACAATTTGCTATAATCACATGCAAGATTTGAAAAATATGGCAGCGATAAAAATGGAGTTTTAGTTGTGACAGGCGACAGCTCACATGCTTTGCCCTGTGTCATATGATGAATCGCATCTTTTTAAGACACTCTGACAGAGGAAGAAGCGGTTTTGAAAATAGAAGGAATGTTTATGTCAACTTTCTTATCGGATCAGATACCGGCTTGCTTTTAATATCATTCTTTTCGGGGCGGGTGAAATGTCATGTGTGGGGAGAACTATTGTGGTAACGCACACTTTAGTCACTTTTGTATCGAAAATGTCAAGTTCTGAAGGAGCCGCGGGCCGGAACACAATGTTAGTTGCTGATACTAGCCACAGGCCGGACGTCAGGATGGTCGTACGCCGGATCCGGGCCGCGGGCCGTTAGGTTGCTGACCCCTGGTCTAGCTATGTAATTATTTCCACTGTTTTACGTGAAAACCCTTTGGAGGCTGCCGATGACTTGTAAAATCCCCATCTGATATATTGTATCCAACCCACGTTTTGCGATCAGAGCCAACAATTGTATTCGTGTGGTGAGGTCGGACTATACGGCGGCTTCAGCCTTTCTTGTTTATTCCACTGGTAACTCCAATTCTAGACTTTGCCATAAGTTCGAATAGATAGGACATTTGCGCGTCAATCTGGCAGTTTGATTGTTATCTATTCGTCCTCCTTCCAAACTCGGGTTTATCGTAGTATTGACTACGATTTACATAATTCTTGGCCCGTGCCCCCCACCCCCCCCCCCCCGCACACATCTTAAGGACATTAATATTCACATCAAAGGCAAATATGTGTGCCACTCTTCCTACCCCCTAGCCTATCTAGGTAACAGATACTGGCGAGCCCCCACAGCTGCTGCAGCGACTGACCGTTGAGTTGGCGGCGTGTCCCGTGCCGGCGTCCGCAGCGGAGTGCAGGCGTCGCTTCTTGGCCGCCGGGGGCGAGACGCTCGAGCTCGGGACGCTGCGTGTGGCCGCCTCGGAGCCCGATGCTGACATCTATACTCGCTGATGCCACACAGAACGCAGAGACTGTCCGCCCGCGCCAGATGAAAACCTGATGTACAAAACAACATCTATGGGTTAGCAATAACAACAGCTGAGGCCTGAGGGAAGCAGTCCATGACTGTTGTCACAATGCGCCACCTTCATCAATAAGCACCATTTTTGTTTACAAAAAGGTTTAAGAACTGCAACCCCTACTTATAACATGTTCAATAACATGCATTTATTTGAGAGTTGCAATGGTTTCAGAAGTCACATCATAGGTTAAAGGGACCCTCCCACCATCAAAAAAGTTAATGAATTGGCATGAAAGTGATGTCGCTCGGTTCAGAAAGAGCAAAAACGAATATCTACCAAATTTCATCGAAAAATATTCACCGGTTTTCAAGATATAAGACTTTTACTTTTGTTTACTTTTTGGAATCTCCGCTGTTCCTAGCGACTTTATTTGAAAGTGCGGCATTTGTTGCGCGCAAAGCAGCATATACCACCGCGTGCTACAAAACGTTTTAGTCAAACATTTAACGGACGTTCGAAAGCCTGATGACGTCATCAGATTCCCGTAATGGTTAAGAGATAGGGACCACGCTGGTCCCACCCTGCGAGTAAAGGGAAGAAATTTCTTGAACACCATAAAGCTGCGGGGGTTGCGACCAGGATAAATGGTGGTTTCTGAGCCTGGCCGCAAACTTGGCTATCTCAACTCAAAACTAATGTTAAGGTGGGAGGGTCCCTTTAATATAATCGCAATGCACCAAATTCTATTTAAGTGTCATTTTCTATTAAAATGCTCCCTAATGAAAGCAATCAAGCTTTGGTCTTAAGTGCTCCTTGGCAATTGTTGCAACTTGTGTAGCTGATGCCACTGTCACATCAACATAATTGTTGACAAATGCTGGCAGTTTAATGCAAACCCTATAGTTGACTGTCTTGAAATGTAACTGTAAATGGTTGAGGGAAAATGCAATGTAAAGTTTATGATGATGTATATTTTGAACAGAAGGTGATTGCTTGAAAAAAAAGAAATGGAGGCATAAGAGAAGGCAGGAGTATTCAATAACAACTTGCATTTTGTAATAAATCATTTGTTCAAAATTGTGTTGAAATTGATGACCTTTTCAATAGCTTTATGTTAACATTTAAATGGTGCAATTTCACCTTGAACTATGAGCTTGACTCCCAGTAACCAACAAACCTGCTATTTCTTTTCAACAATCGAACAATTATTGATAAAAATTAAAATACTTTTCCAAACATTTATGTAGATTTCAAATCCAGACTGCAGAAGCCAGAACATGACAATGTCAACCAGAGCTTTCAGCTTGTTAATACAAGTGCACTCAGTTGGTGTGCAATGCAGTGCAGATCTACTGTGAACTGGATTTTGTATGAAGCAGTGCAGGCTCTAAATCAGCATCGTGCTAAGTTGCAGTATAAGGGCAGTACCTACTGTAAAAAAATAGGATATTCATATGAAAAGCAATGGGTAAGCCAGGTAATAATTGGCATTTTACTGAAGTTTTTCATCAAAACTTATGAGCCTTAATGTTATTCTGTGTGGACTGCAGGCCCATGCAGATTTCCAGTTTGGTTGGTATGGTGTGTGCTGATGCTGACTTGCCATATATGTAGCTTGGTGACTCTGGTGCCATGATTTGCAGTATGGATCAGGATATCACAGGCTGGGCTATTTTTAATAAGTTAAAGTTAAATAAATCACAAAACTCAAAAGCATTTTAACTATAGATAACCCTGTAGGTACATCATATCTAACTAATCACCAAATGCATGAGGCATTTCAACTTATTAATGATTATATATTTAAGTTATTTTCATGTAATAATTAATCATGACTACCTGATAGTTATAATATAAATTAGTCAGAACTTGAACTGCTGCGGAATCCAGCCATTAATACTAGTCCTGCATCATTCCATTTATCGAAGTATGCAAAAATCATTTACTACATCAATTTATAGAACTGAATCAGATCTAAAAACAAATGAAAGTTAGCAACAATTTGAATGAGAAATGGTCGAAATATGAATATCAATAACGAGAAATACCTACCGTCTCACCAACCACTAAAGGTTCAGTGGAGTCATTAATGCAAGTAAGTGTTTTCTTCGAAGTAATCCTTAATCATTGAGACATACAGTAACAGTGTTTGTAACTTCTTCAAAGTAGACCATACAATAAAACGGACGAAATTTTCCAAAAGCGAGATCAACTCACCGCACACGCCGCGCCGCCGAATACAAGGATCAAGGAAAGCAAATTAGCTTGTCTGCAAATCGGAGACAAATATTAAAGGGACCCTCCCACCTTCAAAAAAGTTAATGAATTGGCATAAAAGTGATGTAGCGTGAATCACAAAGAGCGAAAATGAACATCTACCAAATTTTACCGGAAAATATTCAACCGTTTTCGAGATATAAGACTTTTATTTTTGTTTACTTTTTGGGAACTCCGCTGTTTCTATGACGTCACATAAAGGTTTTCTTTACGTCGGCATTTGGAAGCAATAATTTGGTATCAAAGTGCGACAAATATTGCGCGAATGATGCGTTTATCTTATCAAGGTCAATATATGATGGCCAACAAAGGATTCCAGGACAATTCTTCTTATGGCATTTTTTCGTATCGCAATTCTTCGTCTGCAAATCTTCGTCAGGGCATTTATTCGTATCGCATTACTTTGTCTCGCATCAGGGTATATGAAAATCGGCTCGCATTTCTTCTTCAACGCAAATGTATGCAAGAGTAAGCATTGATGGACAAATAAATGCACCGACGAAGATTTGTAGACGAAGAAATGCGGACGAAGAAATGTCATGCGAGGATTCGTTCGGGTACCATGACATTTATGTGATTTCAAAGTCAAGGTTCACAGCTGATCTGCTAAATCAAGCCAAGAATCCAAACTATCAAAAAACTATAAATATTTGTTTGTCTGTCACAGAGGTCTCAAGCAATATAAGGTTGACATATGTTGAATCAAAAATCTACTGCCACAACTCACATCTCCTGCCTTAGTTTATCATTGTTGTTTTAACTTGCTTTCAAGAGAAACAGAAGCCAGTATCTGATATCACTTCAGATGATGATGATTGTTTCAAGATCTGAGTTCAAATGGAATTAAAAGCCAGATCAAGATGAAACAGGGATTATTGCTGTTAAAGTAGTTTGGCCATGATACAACAGGCACATAAATCATCAGCCAAATCAAATACTGGTTGGTTTGTCAAGATGTTTGTTGTCTGTCGTCTGTCGAGCTGCTATGAACACTGAACGCTCTCACTCTTACTTTAAAGAGAGTAGTTTAAGTTGAATGGTAGTGAGCTGTAATTAGACAAAGCAGCTATTCAGTGCTCACATCAAGCCAGGCTAGGAAATGGCATCAACTGTGGTGGGAGGAAGCAGGTTCGGCAGGCCTATGTTGTAAACTTCTGTTGTGTCTTGTGTTTGATCAACTGATGTTTTCTGCTCTGTTTTGTGCAGTGATAGTAGCAGGTAACTGCATGCTTGTCAAATTATGTGAATAAACGAATTCATAACATTGCATTTTTCTCTCCATGCAAGGAACAAGTAAGATGTTGTAGAAAATGTAATAGAGGGCTGCATTGCTGATTTCATGCACTTTATCAGAGCTTTATTTAGAATTGCTTTCCTGAAAGCTACACACAGGCCACAGCACTGAAATTCACAATGTCATAGCTTTTGGCAGAAAAAAAAGAAAAGACTTGCCTAGGTAAAATTGGCTGAAAGTATGGCAGAGCAGGTCTTGATGCGTATGCCCATCCGTGTGCTTGCCGAAGCCGAACTGACTGCAACACATTAACTCTGACCCACCATGGTGGCTGGCATATCCTGAACTTTCACCACTCTAAACAAGACAACTTTCAGCCCTCAGCATTGTATTAAAACACTGTACATGGCAGTTGACACTCAAAATTTGTTTCAGTGCCATCCACGGACAACATCAGTCGCCATTCACCAGGCCAGTAAAAACAGAATAGATAATAGCTTCAAACCCATGTAGTCAGAGTTACTAGGTCTGCACCTCAAAACAAAATCCAGGTGACATTCACCACGCCAGTAAAAAAAAAAAAAAACAGGTAGGTACTTAGGTAACGTAACAGCTTCAAATCTGGTAACATGTTGGTCGGACTTAACACTACCATATGTACGTACATGGAATAATATGATACCAAACAACAGTGCAACCATTCTGGACAACAAAAGTGTATGATAAAATTAATTTAGAATACTTTGGCAGCATGATTTACGAGCACAGGCAGGTGTTACCTACCAGCCTTCTCAATGCTCGTAAAACCAACATTGTAGTTTTGATTTTACCTTACATGATAACACACTTGGCTGCAATGGCACATTTAATTTAACACTGTGAAAAGACCAGTTATAACCACTTCACAAGCACAATTGCACCTCATGCCGACATCCTTTTCCAAAGACAGTCAGCAGCGTCTTTCGTCAAAACTGGAAGATCAATCCCCTTTCAACTGTTAACATCAAAAATATTTCTTCATGGTGTGATCTCCTATGGAAACCTTGCGGGAAAAGAATTAATGTCAATTATCAGCTCTTCAAATTTCTTTGGACTTAAACTTGCAGTACCATATCCAGTTTGCTTTGATATTTTGTTTTTCATTCCATGTTGAAGTTGAACACCAAGCTCCAGATATAGCAGGCAGCTTGATCATCTTCGGCCTTGGTATAATATCAGTCCAAGTTCCAGTGGTGGGTATCTTCTAATATTCAAATTAAAATGAAAAGCAATAGGCTTTCTCAGCGCCGACGACGGATTTCACGTTGATAAAAAAGGGAGCTCAAGGTCAGCAAAACTCGGGTTTAAGGAATGGCGGGCGTCGAAATGACTGCTGACGTCATCAACAAACCGCTAATGGTTAAGAGATAGGGACTAAGCTGGTCCCACCCTGCAAGTAAAGGGAAGAAATTTCTTGAACACCATAAAGCTGCGGGGGTTGCGACCAGGATAAATGGTGGTTTCTGAGCCTGGCCGCAAACTTGGCTATCTCAACTCAAAACTAATGTTAAGGTGGGATGGTCCCTTTAATGCCCTGTAAAAATTGCAAAATCATACTGCCTCGCGCACCTCGGTGGCATCATCATGAAAACTGCCATCTAAGCATGAAACTGTGAGTGCGAATTGCAAAAACTATTTAAGTTAAAACATGTCAATTATTTTATTTCTAGCGCTTTCAAAAGCAAGTGAGGCTGCTTCAAACGCCTAGATACCTGCTTGTTATTTAGCTTCAGGAATAAAAATTTAGTCAACAAAATTTCCTTCATATGGCAGTGTACCGAATAAGGCGCAGTACAGACGGTTATTTGCAACAAGTTTTAAATTGTATATCTCAAATTGTTTCATTGGAATTCTGAGCTTTTATGACTGGTTTTTCGTGTATTTTAAGTATACGCGCCCTAATCCAACAAGAACAAGAAGTGTATTATAAGTTTGATCGGACAGTTTTCCACGTAGGCATTTCCAAAATGCTTAGGTAAGATTTCAAGTTCTAATTTCTGCTTGTTTCAGCATCAACAGTCAGCAGAACAAGAACCTTCACTGATTTTGATTTGCACAGCATGACAGCATGTGTATTTTGACATTGACCTGGCGCTGATTACCAGGAGGTTAGTGCCGACTTGAACTGTCAACTTTAAAGGGACTATCCCACCTTTAACATGGGGTTTGAGTTGAGATAGCCAAGTTTGCGGCGAAGTTCAGAAACCACTGTCTATCTAGGTTGCAACCCCCGCGGCCTCTTGGTGTTGAAGAAATTTGTTCCCTTCATTTGAAAATGAACTTTGTTGTGGTGCCTACAGAGTAAAAAGAATCAGCTTTATGACAGTAATGCGTAACCGGACAAATCTTCGTATGGCATTTCTTCGTCGCGCAATATTTCGTCCGCATTTCTTCGTCCGCAAATCTTCGTCGGCGCATTTATTCGTGTCGCATTACTTCGTCTCGCATTTCTTCGTAGGTGCAAAAATTCGTAGCGCATTTCTTCGTATCCGCATTTCTTCGTCGGCGCATTTCTTCGTCAAGCATTTTTTCGTCCACGCATTTCTTCGTCTACGCAAATCTTCGTCCGCATTTCTTCGTCCACGCAAATCTTCGTCTGCGCATATCTTCGTCCGCAAATCTTCGTCCCCGCAAATCTTCGTCCGCAAATCTTCGTCCGCATTTTTTCGTCCATGCATTTCTTCGTCTACGCAAATCTTCGTCCGCATTTCTTCGTCCACGCAAATCTTCGTCCCCGCAAATCTTCGTCCGCAAATCTTCGTCCGCAAATCTTCGTCCGCAAATCTTCGTCCGCAAATTTTCGTCCGCATTTTTCGTCCACGCATTTCTTCGTCCAATCAAATCTTCGTCCGCAAATCTTTGTCTGCGCTGTCTTCGTCTCCGCAAACATTCGTCCACAAATGTGGTTCAATAAAACCATGAAGAAATATCAGACAGTCAAGTGAATGACGAATTTAATGCATGGAATGGATGATCGAAACTTTTGAAGCCAGGTAGATGAGGTCAGTCAGGTGAAGCTATTGTATTTGGGAGCCGATAATCGATATCATTTGTGTCCCGGACATTCTTTTTTTTGCGGTCGTTGAATGACAATATAATCTCTTGTACCCTCGCCGGCATAGGCGGCGGAACGGGGAGGGCACCGGGGCACCGTTCCCCTCTTTAATTTTGGCCTTTTAACAGTAGCCCTATGGGCGTTGCATTGAATGGAAAGCATATTGGACCAAAAGTCGGCAGTGCCGTGCCCCCCTTAATTGAAGATGTTCCGCCGCTACTGCCCGCCGGACCTATTTGTTTTCTACGGTACACGCCGGCCGAGGGGGCGGGTACGACCCCCCCCCCCCCCCATCGCCGTTTCGCCACTGGTGGAGCTAGCGCGTCGCGGAAAAAAACGAGCGTGTGCGCCGTTACGAGCCGCAGAGATTAATACCCGACCCCTTCTAGGTCAGGGGTCGGCATACGGCCCGCGGGCCGGATCCGGCCAGGTGGGTGACGGTTGGATCCGGCCCGCGACCATCTGACGTCCGGCCCGCGGCTGGTATCAGCGACTTACATCGTGTTCCGGCCCGCGGTTCCCTCATAAATCGACTCCGATATAAAAGTGACTCAAATGTGCTTTGGCACAACAGTTCTTCCTTCGCACACTTCATGAGTTTATAAACACCATTTGCGGGTGTTTTTGTTTAATTCTACTTCTAGACAAAACTTGCAACGGTAAGATTTGGTCAGCAGCTTTTGCGCGCAGCATCAACGACTGCTGGCTGCGGCACTTGGCGGCTTCACGTGGTTTACTCGCTTAACTTTCCAGGCGGTGTGTGTGTGTGTGGGGGGGGGGGGGCGGGCCGGAACACGATGTAAGTCGCTGATACCAGCCGCGGGCCGGACGTCAGATGGTCGCGGGCCGGATCCAACCGTCACCCACCTGGCCGGATCCGGCCCGCGGGCCGTATGCCGACCCCTGACCTAGAAGGGGTCGGGTATTAATCTCTGCGGCTCGTAACGGCGCACACGCTCGTTTTTTTCCGCGACGCGCTAGCTCCACCAGTGGCGAAACGGCGATGGGGGGGGGGGGTCGTACCCGCCCCCTCGGCCGGCGTGTACCGTAGAAAACAAATAGGTCCGGCGGGCAGTAGCGGCGGAACATCTTCAATTAAGGGGGCACGGCACTGCCGACTTTTGGTCCAATATGCTTTCCATGCAATGCAACGCCCATAGGGCTACTGTTAAAAGGCCAAAATTAAAGAGGGGAACGGTGCCCCGGTGCCCTCCCCGTTCCGCCGCCTATGCCGGCGAGGGTACAAGAGATTATATTGTCATTCAACGACCGCAAAAAAAAGAATATGTCCAGGGCCCTGTTCGGTCGCTGTTTTTATATCAGCGTGCTGTCGGTTTTCCCCATATAAGGAAGTTATTGCTGGCGCGGCTTGGCCTCTCATTGGTCTAACGAATAAACCACTTGAATTCGACCAATGAGGAGCCAAGAAGCAGCAACATGGTCGCAGCCTGCTGATAAATAAACGGGGTGCGAACAGAGCTCTGGGCACAAATGATATCGGCTCCCAAATACAATAGCTTCACCTGACTGACCTCATCCACCTGACTTCAAAAGTTTCGATCATCCATTCCATGCATTAAATTCGTCATTCACTTGACTGTCTGATATTTCTTCATGGTTTTATTGAACAACATTTGTGGACGAATGTTTGCGGAGACGAAGATAGCGCAGACAAAGATTTGCGGACGAAGATTTGCGGACGAAGATTTGATTGGACGAAGAAATGCGTGGACGAAAAATGCGGACGAAAATTTGCGGACGAAGATTTGCGGACGAAGATTAGCGGACGAAGATTTGCGGACGAAGATTTGCGGACGAAGATTTGCGGGGACGAAGATTTGCGTGGACGAAGAAATGCGGACGAAGATTTGCGTAGACGAAGAAATGCGTGGACGAAAAAATGCGGACGAAGATTTGCGGACGAAGGTTTGCGGGGACGAAGATTTGCGGACGAAGATATGCGCAGACGAAGATTTGCGTGGACGAAGAAATGCGGACGAAGATTTGCGTAGACGAAGAAATGCGTGGACGAAAAAATGCTTGACGAAGAAATGCGCCGACGAAGAAATGCGGATACGAAGAAATGCGCTACGAATTTTTGCACCTACGAAGAAATGCGAGACGAAGTAATGCGACACGAATAAATGCGCCGACGAAGATTTGCGGACGAAGAAATGCGGACGAAGAATTGCGCGACGAAGAAATGCCATACGAAGATTTGTCCTGGAATCCAGTAATGTGGCCTGGGGAAGGAGGTAATTTTGGGCTGTGATGTCACATATTTGAAAGTTTGTGTTTGGAATATGGGAAGCCTAAGATGTTTAATGAAAAATAAATGCCAGAACCGTGTTCCTGGTCATCCAATATATAAAGTCGGGTGCAATTTAACTGGTTTTAACAACATTTTAGAAGGTGGGATAGTTCCTTTAATTTAGAAAGTGCCTTACATCCAGACTGCAAAGCATTTTGCATGGCGATATTGACAAGAATTTGTTGGTATGGAGGCAAGTGACTGCCAGATTGCTGTGCAAAGGCATTGTGATGTGGTGCTGATGTGGATTGTGGAGTGGGTATTAATTAATTGGGCCTATTCATTGGTACCGGGAGTTCCTAAATAAACAGTCGTATTTAAAAGCTGTATATTATCAGTGTCGCTATTCGTTACTGCCCTGTGACCTTTTTTTCTCTTCATGTTACCGTACCGTATTTGTTTTCCATCATTACTGTGTTGTATCCTACCTTTCCTTTACGCCTCGTCATTTTATTTTACCTATGGCAGCCCATTTGGTAACCCCTGCATCCTTCACGAATATTTTTCCTAACCGCGCCGATTTCGCTTTGTTGTATTATTTCGTTCGGAGTTCTGTCGCCACCGCCGCCGTGTGAGGTGACGGTCGTCTGGTGCCAGTGTGATATCTGCTGCCACCGCCGCCACCAATATAATTAAAGTGTTCATATATTCAAGTTTTTTAAGTCAAACCAGAGAGCCGGCCCTATTTATTTCATTTTTGATTTTCAACATAGTCCTCCGGGCCGGATGACTTTTTGATTTCTGTTAAATTTGCTTCTTTGATGATTTGCTGATTGATTTTGACTGATCAAGACTGAGATTGACTTGTGAATTGTGTATATCAAGATGGAGAGTGAGGCACAGCTTAAACAGAAAAGGACTGTGGCTCGAGGTAAGGCAACCAGACTGATGAAAGAGCTTGCCGAATGTGATAATTCTCAAGAGGACGACCTTGCCTTGGCAATACACCACCTTGAGCAGCACGTTGATCTGATGACCGAGATCCAGGTGAGCCTGACAAAGCTGTCTGTGCCTGATGATACCTCGCATGTTCAGGATATGCAGGATCAGATTTTCAAAGCTAAGCGTGTGCTTGCTCGTCTGGAAAGGAGCTCTGAGGTCTCTGTTGGAAGGGCTCAGTGTGTGCCGCCTTACCTGGGGGGAAAGCTGGACCTGAAGCTGCCCAAGTTCTGTGGGGATGTGGAAAAGTGGTCAGAGTTCTGGAGCCTGTTCTGTGTATCTGTCCATGACAACCCTGCTTATGCACCTGTCGAAAAGCTGGTGCACTTGAAGGCGCACCTCGTCGATCAGGCAGAGGTGGCTGTGCAGGGTCTTCCCATCACTGACCAGGGCTACTTGAAGGCTGTGGAGACCCTGAAGGAAAGGTTTGATCGCCCAGATTTGTGCATTAAGGTGCTGATGCAGAGATTGTTGTCCACCACCCCTGTGCACAGTGACAATGACTTGGTCCGCTTGCGCCGCATGATTGATGGGCTGGTTTCTGAGGTTAGGGCACTGGAGACGATGAACGTGTTGCCTGACTCATATGCTGTTCTGCTGATGCCTGTGCTATTGTCGTGCATCCCTGAGTCATGGAAGATTGAGTGGCTGAGATGCAGTGCTGACTCAT